TCTTCCTCCTTGACTGGCCTCTCGTGTCCCAGTGCCGACATGGGCGTCAATTCTCACATAAATATTTTTACTAGAGGCTGTACTGATGATGGAAACCAGATGGAATGGGAGTGAGAGGGAAGGGAGGAAGGAAGGAGGGAGGGAGGGGGAGAGAAGGAGAAAAGGAAAGAAGGTAGGAAGAAAAGAGGGAGGGAGGGAGGGAGGGAGAGAGAAGGAGAAAAGGAAAGAAGGTAGGAAGAAAGGAGCGAGGGAGGGACAAGGAATGAAGGAATGAAGGAGGGAGGGAGGGAGAGAGAAAGAGAAAAGGAAGGAAGGAGGGAGGGAGGGACAAGGAAAGAAGGAATAAAGGAGGGAGGCAGAGATGGAAGGAGGAAAGAGAGAGGGAGGAGGAAAGGAGGAAGCTAGGAAGGAAGGAGGTGAGTTGAGCGAATGAGTGAATGAGGGAAAAAGAAAGGCCGGAAGGAAGGAGGGAAGGACTACCTACCTACCTATTTACCAGCATTTTTCATCTTTATTTACATTGAGAAGAAGAAGAAGAAAAAGAAGAAGAGAAAAACATCTTCCAGTTTTCTCATCTTCCTTTCCCTCTTCCAGGCCTCAAGGTGGAACTCCAGTACTCCAAGAACGAGGTTGAGCTGCACAAGATGAGACTCCAAAGACTTGAGGAGGACCTTGAAGCAGCGAAGGAGAAAAACCAGTCACTTCAAACCCAACTCGCAGCCGAGAACAGTAAGTGTAGTTAAATAGTGATAGTTGAGGAATAAAAGACAGTAGTGTAAATTATGTAAAATTGTGGATGCATGAGAGATTGTGGTGCAAATTATGTAAATATTTGATGATGTATGAGAGACTGTGGTGCAAATTATGTAAATATTTGGGGATGGATAAAAGATTGTGGTGTAAATTACATAAATATTTGATGATGCATGAGAGATAGTGGCGTAAATTATGTAAATATTGGATAATGCATGAAAGATGGTGGTGCGAATGATGTAAACAATTGAAATAGCTGTGTAAATGTGGCAAGCGATGATGTGTAAGATAATGCACTGTAAATTATATAAATAAGAGACAGGGACGCATAAAAATGGGAAAATGAGGCAAAATGAGAAAGCAGTGTAAATGATCTAAAACAATCGTAGTGATACACGGTAGTGAAAATGGGACCAGTGTTGACGTATGAGAGAAAGTGTCATGAATTATATAAACAAATGGTGTTGATAATGAATGAGTGGTGATGTTTAGGATATAGAGATGCACAATACTTAATAATAAGTAGAACTAGAAGATGAAGATGAATAATAATAATAATATAAATAACATGGAAACAAAAGAACAGAGATAGAGAAGAAGATAAGAGAAGATAAGAGAAGATAAAGACAACCTCTCCCCCCCTCACCTTTTCCCACAGAGAGCGACAGAATCGAAGAGCTCGAGCTTCGTCTTCGCGTGATGGATGAGCGCCTGAGAGCTGGCCAGCAGGACAAGGAGAAACTCAACAAACAGATTCTCGAGATGGAGGCTGAGAGAGACGAGGAGATCAAGATTATTCAGGATGTGAGTTGAGGGTTGGGCTTGGGGGGGGGATGGGGGGGAGGGGTTGGGTGGATGGGATAGAAAGGGAATGGGGGCTGAGGTAGGTGGGTAGGAAAAATGGGCGAAGGTGGTGTTGAAAAGGGTAGGGCTAAATTGTTTTTCATTCTGTGTTTTCGTTTCTTTCTTTCTTTCTTTCTTTCTTTTTTTACCTCGAGTTGTCTTGATTTCTTCTCTCTTTCTCTCTCTCATACTCTCTTTCTCTGTCTGTCTGTCTGTCTGTCTGTCTGTCTGTCTGTCTGTCTCTGTCTCTGTCTCTGTCTCTGTCTCTGTCTCTGTCTCTCTCTCTCTCTCTCTCTCTCTCTCTCTCTCTCTCTCTCTCTCTCTCTCTCTCTCTCTCTCTCTCTCTCTCTCTCTCTCTCTCTCTTCCTTGATTCTCCCATTCTCTCCTTCCCTCTCTTTCTTAACTTCTCCCTCTCCCACTTTCCTTTCCTTTCTCCTTCTTTCCCTTTTCTTCCTTTCTATCATAATATTCTCGCCTATACCCCCGACCTATTCATATGTTCGAGAAAGAAAGGAAGAAAGAAAGAAAGAAAGAAAGAGAGAAAAAAAACCCAGTGTATTAGTATAGAAAATTCAGGTCAAGGGTTTTCTGTTTTTTTCAGTCAAAATGCAAGGTTCTCAGAAATACAAGAAAATACATTTATTAAGGAAATCTAGCAAGTTGGAGGATATTTTTCTTGGATTACTTCTTGTTCATTGGTGTAAATGTCTTCTTTCTCCTATTGTCTTTGTGTCTGAATCATTCTTTGTGAAAAGAATAAAAATTGTCTTTCTCTCTCTTCACTCTCTTTCTCTCTCTCTCTCTCTCTCTCTCTCTCTCTCTCTCTCTCTCTCTCTCTCTCTCTCTCTCTCTCTCTCTCTCTCTCTCTCTCTCTCTCTCTATCTCTCTCTCTCTATCTCTCTC